TTCCTCCTGCCTCTATTAAATGCCAGCTGTGATGAGCTGCCCTGGTACTCTCACCTGGATCACTGGGACCCCATCTACATGAGCTCAGGTTGCCTGCAGTGCTTATTTGAAAGGTCAGGATCCTACTCATGACTAGTATGGTGATATTTTTGGCTCATTTTTAGTCATTTTCTCCTGTATGTCTCATGAGCTGTCCACCAGAACTCGTTGTCCTCCAAATTATAGTGAAAACAGGTTATTAGTAATAGACTAATTAGGAACTACTTCAGGCTTATTGATGAACACATAATGAATGAACACATCATGATGAACACATACACATCAGCATGAATTCAGTATGAATTCATCTTCCTCACTCCAGTGGTTGTATCGGGAGAAATACTGGACCAGACTTTGCATGTTAGGTGGAGAAAGCAGGAGAGATCACTCTTGTCTGCTGGTAGGTTTATCTTTAAATCCTGATGTTTGATGTTAACTTGCCAATGTAAAAAGGAAGACGAAAAACATCACTGGGATCCTTGCTGTTAACTTGTGGTCTCCTTTCAATTTCCAGTACTAACACTTTTCTCTACTTGCAGAAAAACCTCTCATGGGTTTCACTGCATCAGCCAAAGGCATTCCAGTCCACATCTCATGAATTTGACATTAATTTATATTCCTCAGTCTAGACTCATCATGCCCAATTATTTCACTCCTGAGATCCCAGCAATTTCAAAACCGTATCTCCTCTGCAGCAATTTAATTTCACATTAATATCATGTCTTCTGCGTCTTAAGTTATTTGGCAAATATTAATTCATACCCAGCCCTTTAATGAAGCAGAGAAATTGCTACCATTAACCTCATTTTACGGAAAGGAGAGAGGGGAGGAATTAAGTGATTTGCTGAGAGCAAAGAGAAAATCAGCATTCACACAGGAGTAAGACTTCAGAGGTCCTGGTGTCTGAATCATCCCTCTCTCCCTCAGCCCAAGTGCCAGGCATCATTTTTAGGCAGCCAGCAGAGACATACATCACACTTCACTCTCATGTTCTCTTCTGATTCGTTCCACACTACCTTTTTTTATAAACACCAGAGTTGCCCAGGCACTAGAACAACGAAAACCTGCCTGCCTTCTACTTCTATCCAGCAGACTGGCACTAACATGACCTCAAAGCTTCTGCAGTCTTTATCCTGAAGACCACGCCATGCCCCTTTGCAGTGAGAAATGAGCTTTGTCCACCTCCCGGGGCCAGCCTCTGGTCTTTGCAGCCCAGGCTCTGCTGTGTCTGTGGGAGCACAGAGTGCAAACCCTGCACATCACACCGCAGTGAAATGATAATGTCACTCACTGACACGGCCACAGCTCTGACACATGGAGACAGCGTCTCTGGGTTCCCAGAGGGCAGGGCCTTCTTGGCAGCATTTATTTCTTCCAAGAGACATGTCTGACATGCAGGACCAGTTGGCTGATTCCCAGCTGTCACAGGGTTGAGCCACAGCAAATGTGCTGGCAATACTTGACACCTCAACAAAACACATGCCCTCCTCAGCAATCACTGGGCATCCTTTTTTAAGTGCTACGTGTACTGGAGACTCATCTCTCAGAAGCTTGGATTGCCAAAAACTACATCTCAGCTTGGGGAGGTGTCAGGAGAGATATTTTTGAAGTTCTGGGCAAGCTCAGTTAGTGAAGTGCAATCACTACGAGAAACTATTTGTACAGAAGATTTTGGGTTGTGTAGACAGGATGCTGAATCCTCAGATACAGCCAAAAGACAAAGCAGAGCATGTGCAGCAGATTAGGGGACACTTCCCTGTTACTAATGTCTCAGATATTTATTGAGACTTGGGAGGGAAAAATAACGTGACTACACAATTAATCTGATGTTTCTGTTTCTCTCATGATATTTTGAGGGGGATTACACTTCTCTACTGCATTTTTCCTGCTCTTGGTGTGTGTGTTAAGCTTTCCGAGAAATCGGTGCATTGAAAGAATTATTTTTTTTTAATTGTAGACTGAGGTATGACTTTACCACCAAAAAAATCCGTCCACCATAAAAATTACATTAATGGATTGACTGGTTGCAGAAGGCTGAACGCAATTATTTAGGACTCATGCATGACTAGGGCAAGAGGAAGTATTTAAGTCATGAAATGCTTTTTCCACATAAAGAGGGGTATGTTAGAATAGTATTAATAGCAGAACTGGTTGCAGACTGAACACTGGCTACATGGCTGAGTTCAATGTTCCATGTTATCAACCACAGATTCTTAACACTGCTAAACTCGACAGGTCTTCCTGGATAAGTGCCCAGCCACCAAACTGGGACAACCAGAAAACAGGCCCTGGAGCTGGGTTTAGAAAAGCAAGCAAGTTTAGGAACAAGTTTTTAATCCCCTCCAAAGTCCCAGATGTGTGCTACCATGCACATACCTGTGCAAGATCATGCATATGTTACTGCTTCCTGTGTCCTTTGGGAAGCAAGACTGATGCACTGTCTCCAGTGGGGATGCTCAAGTTCTCTGTTAGACTGCAGAGTAACTATTTCTTTTTAGAGGTATCATTTCCACATAGATGAAGTAGAACAGCTTTCCAGAGGAAGGCCTATGTTTCAAACACAGTCTTTCCATGTGAATGTCTGTTGGAGGCAAAAGCATTCTCCAAGGATGAGACATACAGTGGCCAAAGCTTCTTCTGGCTCAAGAGGGGATTTTTCCTCACCAACAAGGGCAGCTTCAAGTGATTTTACTGCACAGTTTCAGGACTGTGTGTATCTGGCATGTCCTGTGAGAGCCTGCCTGACCAAGCCCTCAGAAGACACTGGTGGGAAAAATCTCTTTTCTGTGTCCTATCCAAATTATCAGCTTCTTAAGCATACTTCCCCCTTTCCAAAGCACGTGGCTTTTACAGGAAGATAAAGGAAACTAGGGGTATTAGGAGCAAGCAGAGAGGCACCTTCAAGGCTAGAGCTTTTGAGGTTGCTCCTGCGATATTCCCTTACGATGGATGCTGACACGTGTGTAAGTGTGTCAGCCAGTTATGCTCCCAGCCCTTTAAGCTCTGATCTGAAATGTAATGCTTCAGGAGTATGATGGTTTAAACAATTCTAGTTAGGTCTGGTAGCAAGTCCATCATAAACTAGCAACCAACAGGCTCCTCCCTTTGATTAATGTTGTTTTAAAGTCTCATTTATTAGCTCTAAGTACACTGCCCATCAATCACCGCAAAGGAACAGTGCACCCTCCTCCCCCTGATGGCTTTATTCCTGGAATAACCAGTTCAGCTCACCGGAGAAGAAAGAGAAGGAAACAGAAAAGGTGTGGTCCCACCAGACACATGGGGAAGGAGGTGCTGTTACAGGAAGTGATTGGAAGGATGGGAAGAAGCACACAAGTACTTGCAAGACTTCCAGACTGAAAAAGATTGGCAAACATAAAACCTATGCCTGTCTTCAAAGGTTTGCCTAGCTTGGGAAAAAAAACTGGGAAAGGCCCTGTGCCAAATTGTGAGCCTGGTTCAGAGCCTGGGTAGGGTAAGCTCTGGCTGCCTCATCTGATAGCATCTTACCAATTGCCACACACCCACTAGGCTTTCGTGAGCTATGCTTATTTCCATTGACCATTGCTGTCTCACCACCTTTAACTCCTCCACTTAAGTGAGCTCACAAGTTTGAACACGAGTCTGCAGCTCTACTGCTCTCCACAAGCTGTGATTTACTGACGAGGAGTATCAGTTAAACACATCGTGACAGCAGACGAAGCTGCAGAGGAACAAGTTCCTGGCACATAGTTTGGATTTCATGCCTCAGTTTCTAGGAACAGAGATTCTGTGATTATCTCTGAAGTAAACTTAGCACTACCAGTGAAGAACCTCTGGGTATGACAAAGCAGAAAACAGTCCCAGAAGTGCCAGCTCAGTGAATATTTATTCTAACTCGCAAGGCATCATGGAAGGGTGGTAACTGCAACAACTGCCAAGATGTGATACAATCTCTGAAGATCTCAGATGAAATTTATTTGTGGTCTAATTTTACTAGTTTCGGGCAAAGAAGAGAAAACCACACTGCCTGACACCATGGAACCAAAGACTGATGCTGCTGCATGCTTTATGAAGAGCACCAGGAGGTATTCAGCCCTGGTTTAAAGGAGCTCATGAAATGCTGGGGCTTGCCTGCTCTGGCAGATGTTTGGCCTTTTCAAGAACAACACTGCCCGGGTTCTCTGCTCCTGTTACAATACAGTAGCAGAGGAACAATGACAGCTTGTAGTTCAACTTTTATTTCTTTTTCAAAAACCCAAACAAACATCTTTCACAGAGGGAACAAAAATAGAGTTTTCTGCATTTTAAAGAGTGGATTTTAAAGTCTCTGGCAGTGCAGGGTGAAACATGATAACCCTGGTAGAAGGACAAGCAGGAGGATGACAGCATCCGCATCAGTGAGGGGCAAGAGATCAGGACACGTTCCTTCTGCCACCTGAGATACAGCGAAGCTGTTGGCTGCCCCAAGGTCATGATTACATTCCCTCATTCCCAGACCTGCCCAGAGCCCCCAGCACATGTACCCCAGGGTAAAGCTCTCAGTTTATTTGGCTGCACAACATCCATGACAGCCCCCCTGCAAGCACACTGGTTTGAGGACTCAAGTGCACCATGCCTGTGAAGAGGCCAACGCAAACATGATGGGCTTTACAGGGACACAGGTATCTCCTGCTCAACAGAACCTGAGTGGAAAGGCCAAATTGCCACCCGGGGAGTCTGTCTCTTCAGGCAGACACAAAAGCATCAAGTGGTTTAATAGACAGATATTTGTTATGGTATGAAAGAATAAGATGATTTAGTTCATCTAAAAATATCAGACCACAACAGAATTGAACCATCATTTACACACACACCCCCTCCTAATTACCAGGGACATAAGAATATCCTAAGAGTTTCCTAGACTGAAAATATCACAAACTGCCCATTGCCAGGTGCCTTGATGGGTAACTGCTGCCGGAAAGCTCAGTCAGATTCAGCAAATAAAGGCAAAACTATTTAATCAGAATGGTGACTGAGCTCACGGCCAGGATCCAAAACTCAAAGGCTAAAATACAGACTGAAAAACTATCTTCCAGGAGAGAACAGACACTCTGGAGCAAGATTTGAGGGTCTTTTTCCGTTCAAAAGAGGAACTACAACTAAATCAATATGATGTCAACTTCCAGCCATAACAGCCAGCCCCAGGGTGGAGGCCAGCTCCTAGCAGACAGAGCAAGAAACCAAAACACACCCCAATGCCAAGAAGAAGCCCCTGGGAACACATATGAAACCTGTTCTTGGAGATACGGGGAAAGGCAAACAGTCCTTGAACTTCTGTTAGCCAATTCTACGTGGACTTACACTTCACAGTGCCTGGCTTTCTCTAAATCAAGGATATTTCCCAAAAATACATTTTGGTGCATGTCATAACAAGAAGACATGGCAGAATCTGGCTTAACATTTCTTAATTCCTTAAGGCAAGTTTACCATTATTTATCCTGCAGGGCAGGAGATCAACTCAGGAAATCAAGAAAGAGGCATAATAAAAAAAAAACAACAAACCAAAAATAAGCCATTTTGTGGCTACAAGCTCACCCTTCTCCAGGAGATGGATGTGATAATCTAACCATCTGCTAGGAGAAGAGTAGGATGCTGAAGAACCAGAGCCAAAAGAGCTGTGGGAGCAGGCTCCTAGAAATAATCTCTGGGTGATAAGGTGATGAGCTACAGCTTGCCCAGGGAACGTGCACAGCTGACACCTGAAGGAGATTACCACCGTCACACTTGGCAGGGTCATTGATTTCAACAAAGTTTGATTCCTTTTCTCATGTCATTCAACAGAATCCACAGCCAACTGTGACACCCCCATCAGTGGCCAGCATTTTGTAACCTGAATGCATTCTTATAATTAGGGGGAAAAAGAAAAAAAGAAAAGAAAAAGAATCCTGATTTTTTAAAGCAATGAGTCCTAGTTAGCCATCTAATTCATTGCTGTCTGTCCTGACAGTGATGATACCGTGCTTTCCCCAGGCTAGACGCACGGTTAAGCCTGCTAAACCGCAGGAAGGGTTTCTGCATGTTTAGGCAACATGCAGGGCACTCTCATAAGCATCATCTGAGACAGAACAAAAATCTTTGGGGGTGACCACTTTAACTCTGGAGTGCATTAGAGAGAGGATAAGAGGAACAATGCTGGTACTTGGGCAGAGTTGTTCCCTCCTATAAAGCCCTGGCTTTAGCCTCTGAACCATGAAGCATCTCTCCAAACACAATGAGCACAGCCTGGGTAAGTGGTTGTGAATAATTTTGTTCAGCTGATATTTTCCTGGATTTATCAACTTTTAACTTTTGATGACCTTCCTGAGTAAGTACAAACACTGTATTGTATTACTCTTGAAAGCAGGAGCTGGCAATGCGTGATAAAACAACTGTCAGGAGTATCACTCCAACTTGGGATGACGTCAGATTCAAAGCATCTTCAATAATGCTTCTCACTGTTATTTCTATCTAAAATAAAAAAAAATTAAAAAAAAAAAAGAGAAGGAAGAAATACGTAATGGGAATTGTTGTGGTTTGCTTTTGCAACACACTTTAGTTGAAAGCTTTGAGGCTTTTCATGCTAAATGACATGACAAAACCTTTTTCCCACTTGTGCTCATGTAACAAGAAGGAAACACTCTCCCAAAAGATTAACAGAAAAACTTGATCCCACACCCAGAAACTCAAAAGGTACCCTAGAGGCATATAAAATAGGGTAATATGATGCAGGTAATCATATGGTTGATATTATGGATATTCATACACAGGTATTAAGTATATACTTGCTGGCAGGTTGTCCCCAGGGGGTCTCAGTTTTGGGCAACCCAGGGGCAGAGGTGATGTGGCCTGTGGATGGTGGGGGCAGCAGCAGCCCACAGGATGCTGGCTGGACACAGGGGGGCTGGTCCCATCACCCCAACCTGCTGCACAGCATCAAGTGCATCACTAGAAAACCTTGCTGTGACCCATGTTTAGCTGTGGCACAACAGGCTACAGAAAAGGCTATATTGATTCAGATACACGCCAAGGAAATGTTTTGTTCCGTTCCTGAAAGCTGTAGAAACAAGTAATAATTTATAGTAATCTATTTACGGTCTGATTCTGCCACCTCTTTGCACACACTGGGCCATGCCTTTTTGCCATGCAGGGCTTTTGTGTTCAGGCACTAACTCTCCAGGAGTGAGCAGCTGACCCTGACCCTTGTTGCTAAACACAGCAGGAGCTGTGTAGAGATGTGTAGAGGTAGAAGAATGAGGAGAAATTACAAGTAATAGCAATATTCATCACTTAAAATTCACAGAACCTTTGCAAATGTGAAGTAATTACAATACTGAAGGTGAGTGTTAGTGAAGTGTGGGTTTGAGCTACCCTACTCATTCAGAAAAGCTCTACCAAGACATTAATTTTAGAGAGCTGACTGAATATTATGTCTTCAGCTTTCAGATGCTAAAGCATCATGCTAAAGATGAGAAAACGAGATTTGGATTGATGTGACAAGGGAAAAAAGCAAGGCAGGGAAGTGAGTAAAGCTTTAGAGTGGGAGCCAGCACTGCTTCCCTTACAGGGTAATATGGAGTTGAGGCATGGGGAGAGCATATCCTGCTCCTGGCCTGTTTCCCTCTCCCTGCTGTGACCTGGGCAGAGACTTACAGCAGATTTTGCCTTCATCTCTTTCCCCTATCCTGTGCTCATGCTTTCTTCCAAGATACAAGTGAGTGAGCAGCAAGCTAGTTGTACCCAGGCAGCAGTCCTGCAGCAAGGCTGGTGATAGGCAGGGCAGCCCTGGCTCTCCAAGCAGCCGTGATGCCCAGTCCCTGCTGCAGCAGGCTTTCAGAAGGCACATGGCTGTGGATGGCGACAGCTTTGCCAACCCTGGGAGGGAGAGGAGATGACCTGGGGGTCCTTCACTGCCTGCTAGCACCAGCCAGCTCTAGAGAGGGGACAGACATGAACACCATGCTCCTGACTGGCTGTGGCAAGGGAGAGAGCCAGGGTGTGACAGTCAGCTCACTGTTACAGGTCCCACAGACCTCAGCATGGTCTGATCTCCTCAGGAGCATCATCAGCTTTTGCTCGAATTAGAGACGTCAAAGGGCAGCAGTCAACCCTGGCCTCGCAGCACCACTGTTGAATTTTGCTCCATCACTAACAGAAGCTGCATTTCTGGTGTCTTCCCTCTGCAAAGCGCTGTGAAAACAAGCACCACCACCATCATTCCATACGGTGGCAAGCCTGCAGCAGGGGCACCTATGGCTTCTGCAAGGGCAGGGAGACAGGCAGTAAGTACAGGGAGCTGGCGTGGCCCAGGCATAGAAGCATAGGGAAGAAAGAGTTTTCCCAAGAGATGGTGTGGTTAGATGCAGCCTGGCAGAAGATTGCTGGGGTGCAACCCAGTACCTGCCATGACACAACAGGCAGAAAGGATCTGTGACCCCTGTTATTTCTGTTACATCTCCTTTGGAGTTATTACTCTTTTAAAAAGCACCTTGGTCTGGGTTTGGTTTTTTTCTCAAACAGAGCTTTGCCCAGGGCTGTGCAAGGCCTTGATGCTGGTTTTGAGGTGCTCCCTTACAGGATCTCAAAGCTCAGGAGGATTCAGGACCTTGTCAAGGTTTTCTCCAGCTGCAAGATTAGGTGGCTGCACTGGTTGCACCTCACTGCTCACCCTGGGATGGGAGTTTTCCAGCTTTTGGGAAGAGCAGTTTCAGCCTAGACACGTGAGGCTTTTGTCAGCTGATGGAAACAAAACCTTGTATACATCCCTCTTGCCATTTTAAAATAACAAGTCTTGTGATTTTGAGACTAATGTAGAGGACTCAGGAAAAGAGTGAAGGAAAACCAGGATGCCCACTCTTGAGAAGAAATGGAGAAAAAAGATGGCACGTTGTTCAAAACCTCCTCTGGGGTGGTGATGAGACTCTGGAAGAGTCTCTTCATTACAGGGAAAAATCTTTGTGGGATTTGTCTGTTTTAACTTCCCCAGGGCAAGTGTCTTCCAATTGTGGGATTTTGTGTATATCTAGGTGCATTGTTATTACTAACAAACCATAAGCTGTAAAGGAGAAACATTATGTCCGAGGAGGAAAACTGATACCACTGCCATTTGCTTCAATTTCACTGGAAGTGTGCTACCCACCTTGTCTTTTTTGGGACAGTCCAAAGTCTCAAGTGTGATGTATCAGCAGTATTTGGCTACTGTCTGCACTGACTGACCATTTCAATTTAGCCATCAAAACCTATTCATAGTAGTTTGAATAACAAAAATCTTATTGGAGAGGACCCTGCAATGTCCTGAGGCTCAGCAAAAACATGATGGTGACACTCGGTGGAGTCTACTCGCAGAGTTTTTATTTGTTCTTTAGCAGAGTGCACTTTTATCCCGGTGTTTGTAGTGAGTCACATTGCCTCTGCCCACAGGTTCCTTGTAAAAAGCAGCATAATAATAAGAAACGCTTTTGCTAAGTTAGTATTCAGCATGGGTCCAGGAAGTTAAAGTTTTCTATTGACTGTTTTCTATGGTTGTGAGTACAAAAGCTCTGCCAATGTGTCTTCATCTGGGCTGGCTGGTGAAGATCTGCCCATGAGGTGTTCTGAACATCACTGCTCTGCTTCCTTTGTCCATCTGTGCTCTTCTGGGAACTTGGGACTCGGTGTTATTACCCAGCTGGGATGCATTAGAAACTCAAGGTCAGGCTAAAACCTTATCTTTCGTATTTTATTGTGTTCTTTTAACTTAGATACAGAACTTCTCAGATGTTTATTGTGTCTGAGGCCCAGGAGATCTCTGCCTCGATGGTAGGCAAAGCTCCAGAACTGCAGCACTGGCATCAGCAATGCATAATTATTTATTTTTTTTCTGGTGTCCCCAACATCAGAAGGACACGGAGCTGCTGGAACAAGTCCAGAGGAGGCCACAAGGATGCTCAGGGACTGGAGCACCTCCTGTATGAAGACAGGCTGAGAAAGTTGGGGCTGTTCAGCCTGGAGATGAGAAGCTGTGTGGAGACCTCATAGCAGCCTTCCAGTGTTTAAAGGGGGCTACAAGGATGCTGGAGAGAGACTCTTCATCAGGGAATGTAGCAATAAGACAAGGGGTAAGGGGTTCAAACTTAAACAGGGGAGATTATGTTAGATATAAGGAAGAAATTCTTCCCAGTGTGGTGAGGCACTGACACAGGCTGCCCAAGGAAGTTGTGGATGCTCCATCCCTGGAAGTGGTCAAGGACTGGCTGGAGAGGGCCTTGAGCAACCTGGTGTAGTGAGAAATGTCCCTGCCCGTGGCAGGGGGGTTGGAGGTGGATGCGCTTAAGCTCCTTTCCAACCCTAACTATTCTATTATTCTATGATTTAAACTGAGGTACACCTCTGGGAAAGCGTGGTTGGCTGGTTCATCAGGGCCTGGCTTTCCTGGATTTGCAGTTGAACCTCCAGAGACATGTGTGCACACACACGAGTAATCTCCTACCGATTACCTCGTATTGCCCATGATTAGAGCTCTCCAAACCGATGCCCAAGTTCGTGCTGTATTTCCCAAGGCTCGGGTTAACGTTTCGCTATGACGTTGCAGATTCTCTGAGAGCTCGTCCTGCTGGAACACTGCGGGAAACCCGCAGTTCGGAGGGGTTTTGAGACAAACAGCGTGCCCGCCACCTTCGGTCTCCTCCCCACCGCCGCAGCTGCCTGGGAACCGGCCCGGGGCGGGCGGGCGCAGGGACCGCCGCGTCCCCAGCGCACGTCGGGACGCAGCGCCCCCTGGCGCCCCCTCGGGGCACACGGCTACGGCGGGGCCGTTGGGGCGATGTCGGTGCGGTGCGGTGCGGGATCAGGCGTCCCCCTAAAACACGCTCGCCCTGCCCCTGGATGTGCCTCGGTGCCCGCCGGCACCCCAGTGACTTCCCTCCGCCCTAAACCCAAACAGCTGGGCTCAGCTGAAGAGTTAAAAGGACGCTCAAACACTTGTCTGAAGCGGGGACAGCGGACGCAGAAGAAAGCAGTGTCTCAACAGGCTACAAGAAAACTTCATTACTATCGTCCTTTAGTAGAAGTGCTCCAGAAAATGTCCTGGGAACATTCTGAAACTCATTGTCCAGTGTAATGATGCTGGCTGCTGTGCCCTCAGTGGCTCTGATGCAGCAGCAGTCATGAATTATTTGTATTTCAGATCTGGGTTTCATGGTAGCTCCTCTGTAGATGAGATCTGCTGTATTTTCATGCTTATTTAACACAAAGCTTCCTTTGGGAAACAAGCACTAAGTGAGCTTTGAGCCACCAAGGCAAAGCCCATGGAAGTGGCCCCATACTCCAGCAGGCCGGTTGTGATGTTGGGGTTGGCAGGGACTGGGATGCTTGGGTCTTCTCACTTAAAAAGTTGGTTCCATACCTCACTGAATTGGCTGGAATAAAGCAGAGCAAACCACAGGAGGAATGAACAGCTCTGATTTAGCAAATGAACAGAAGTGGGATAGCAGAAGCAATGAAGTGTGATTGCGGAATATAATGATTGATCCATGTTGGTAATCTTAATCCTATAATGAATTGCAAGATGTCAGGGCCTCAGAGTGACACATTCCAGCTGAAAAACCAGTTCCAGTCTTCCAGACCTTTAGATTTACAGTGGATGAGAGATGAGACACAACAGCACGTGTTGTGTGCTACCCCCAGGCCCACAGACGTCCCTCAGCCCAGTCTTCCCTGGACCCGCCACTGGGACTCTCACATCTGTCTCTGTGTTGGCACAGCCAGGAGCAGCACCTTGCCAGTGAGCAGCCTTCAGAAATGTAAGTGCTCAGCAGGACAGCTGTACACATGGTTTCTATGAGGGGAATGTCAATACAGATCCCATTTACTCTTGTTCACTTCTGGTCAGGAGAATTAAAAATGAAAATTAATTAGGGACAGTTTAAGGGCTGGTGCTAATGCCACAGATAAGGATTTTCCACTTGCTGAAGCTGAAAATTTTGCTGTCCTAGGGAAAAAAAAGTATAATGACTTCTCATTCTGCTGTGTAAAATATGGGGTCCACTCTTCCTCACCTTACCAGATCTGTACAAACAATGGCAGAAAGAAAATCATCAACAAGAAGCAATTCTTGAATTCAAGTCAGTGATCAAAGCTTCAAAGAAATGGACAAAGTCCACAGTAGAAGTAAAATTTCTATTAGTTTTACCAGCTTAATAATTACACAATTAGCTAATAATTACTGCACCAGCAAGCTTATCACCTGCACAATGAGCACTGGATTATTCAGTAATAGCAATACACTAAACTGAGTCTAAATTTAGGTTACCATCCAGACATGTTTATAGAAATGTGTGCGGGAGGTAGGGAGCCTTAGAAGTGAATCTTCAGATTTCTTCTTATCACAATTATAGACAAAATACGGAGACATAGAGGAAATGGCTCTTCAGAGATGACAATAAAAATATTCTGTTGGTATAGTTGTTATCGATCAGTTCCTTTCAAACAAACAGGACTTCATTGAGCAGTTTCAAAGAAGTTCTGCAGAGATGTGGCAATCCCAGTGGTGCACTTTTCCTACTCTGTCTGCTTGGTAGCAGGTAAGGAGGAGGGCAGAGTCCCCTCAAGGGGAAAGGGCCCCAGGAGATGACTGAGCATCCCAGCAGGAGCACCTGGGAGAAATGCACAAAAAATCGGCTGTGTTCCACTCATGGAAATGTTTATTGGAGAATAAGAATTAAATTCAAGTTAGTGTCCATGCTCCTGTCTGGACTGAAGCATCCCGGAGAAGTGCTGCTGAGACCAACCATTTAACCGCATGGAGCAACAACAAAATGCATGGGAATGAAATGGTATTTGTAGTCAGCACACATCCACAGCTGACTCTTCATCTGTGTAATCATGGCTCTGCTTTTACAAGGGGCTTTTCATGCTGAAAGATGTCAAAACACATGCAAATGTAAGTTTTGGTCATGGCTTTGACACTGTTAGGAGCAGCAGTCTACGCTTCCTTGTTAATAGTCTTGGGAGAGGGAGTATCTCCCTTTCAGAAGTTTAAAGCTGTAGAATCATAGAAACAACCAGGTTGGAAAAGACCTTTAAGATCACCAAGTCCACCACTAAACCATGTCACTAGGGGCCTCATGTACACGCTTTTTAAACACTTCCAGGGACAGTGATTCCACCATTCCCCTGGGAAGCCTGTTCCAATGCCTGATCATGCTTTTGGTGAAGAAATTGTTCCTAATATCCAGTCTAAACCTTTTCCTGGCCGTTTCCTCTTGTCCTATGACTTGTTACTTGGGAAAAGGGACCAACCACCTCCTCCCTCCATCCTCCTTTCAGGTAGTTGCAGAAAGCGATAAAGTCCCCTCCCCAAGCCTTCTCTTCTCCAGGCTAAAAGTTACACAAAACCCACAGGAGAGAGAGAGGGCCCCTAAAAAGGTGTTTTATTTGGCTGTTATCAGCCCCCAAAAAACGCTGGTGAATCAAATCTTGTTGTATTACAACCCTATGGAAATTTTAACAGAGCTATATTGAAGCAAGAGCATCCAGATGAAGGTTATATATAATGACGGCAATATATATAATATATATATAAAGATGGCAAAGTTTGCGAGACTGTTACAAAAATGTAAGCATCTCAAGGAAATAATATTCTTTGAAGGCAGCTCAACATTGCCAGACTGCAGATTCTTACAGAAGAAAGTGCTGCTTCTGTAAGGATTAGCAGAGGATGTACAGTTAGAAAATGAACGTCAGTTTTCCACCTGGGAAAGGTAGAGGGCAATAAACATTATTCATCTTGAAGAAATTACAAAGAAATACAGCGAAGGAATTGATAGTGTTTCTATATGCGTCAACAGCTGTCTAAGTTTAAATCAATGTTCATCAGTTGGTGTGTGTTCCCCTTATTTGTTTAGTCTATGAAAGATTTTGTGTGTTGTTAGAGAATTCTCTTTATTTTGCTGACTGTTCCAATTAAAAACTCACTCCGCATCCCTCATTCTGGAGCTCACATGCGGGCAGTCCCTCCCTGGAGATTTCTGAAGACCTGACTGCACAAGGTCCTGAACAATCCAGTTGAACGCTGAGGCTAGCTTGGTTTGGGCAGAAGGTTGGACTCGATGGTCTCCAGCAGTCCTTTCCAACTAATTCTTTCTTATGTCTCTGCAATTATAACACAATGCTGCCTGGCCATCAGATGAAGGCTTTAGTTTTCTGCCGCAGATGGCTGAACACTAGATATATCTGTCTTTGCAGAGTTCCTCTGGGAGGATACTCCTGCCTTCTGGCAGGCACTGCCTCTTTTATAATGGCAGTTCTCAACCCAGGCATGCCTGAAAGAGGGGGAGATGGACTGCAGAGCATGACTCTGGGCTGCGCTACTTCGCTGGCACACACACAGCAGGGACTTCAACTCAGATCTGAAGTTCTCATTCAACCAGCAGTAAATGAAGGGATTGTAGCAGGTGCTGCTCATGGCAAACCAGTGAAAAGCAAAGTACAGAGCATTGCTACTGTGGATGGCCCTACAGGAGATCAACACCACATAGCAGTTCAGGGGGAACCAGCACACTGCAAACACAACCACCACCACCATCAGCATCTTCAGTGTCATCTTCTTTTTCCGTTGATGGGCATAGTATTGCTGCATGGTGAGATCCCCGATGGCGTTTCTCAGCCAGAGCTTCTTGGCCACCATGGTATATGTGATGGAGATGACAAGCAAGGGCAGGACATACAAGAGCACAAAAGTAGTCAAATCCAAATACTTCCAGAAAAGATCAGCAGGAGGAGGGAAGCTGGGAAGGCAGACCATTCGTATTGTTCTGTTTCTGGTGATCAAAGAGAGAAAGAACTGTCAGTTCCACTACCAGCTGCACACAGCTCGAGGACAAACGTCTCAGATGTTCTTACAAGTTTCAGTAAAGGCACAGAAGTCATTCAGTAACAAAATGCCACTTTCAATGAAAAAAAATTGCTTTAAGTTTGACATTCTGCCCCAGTGAAGATATTTTAAACACATCCTCAAGAAAATAAAAAAATAATCCATATTGACATCTGTGCCCTGTAATGACAAAAGAGACCTCTCTTCTGAAGCTCTGAGCTGACAACAAACTAACCTGAATGCAATTCCATTGATTTGCATTGTCCTTCTGTGAGAAACACACCACCTAGCGAAACAGAAGGGAGGCTTCTCTGTGTCACTGTACCTTCTTCTCTAATAATACAGGTAGAGATGTGTCCCTTACAATCTGTGGAGCTTTGATTAAGCTGCTTATGTCATATTAAAAAAAGCACCATGTAAATGTCTTACCCAATATAAAATCTTGTCAAAGTCTGATAAATGGCATGAGGCAGTGAGAAGCAGCTTGCCATAACCCAGATGATAATGATGCAAATTCCTCCTTTCACCATGGACATGCGCGGCTTCAGAGGGTGCATAATAACCTGCAGAGAATTTATACATGAGGATTTATAGCGTCTTCAATAGATAAAAACAAGCAGCAAGCTCTAGGAAAAAAAAGAATGCATCTTTGCTTTGTTCATGTCCAGGAGCAAGAATTTCTTGCTGATCACTAAGAAGCAAACAGCCTGAGTGCTTTCCAGGACAGCAAGAAATGCTCAACGTGGACCCGAAGTGTGGCAAAGTTGAAAGCCAAGAGGCTGCTCTGATTTGTAGTCCAGGGAATGCAGAAAGTCTCCTAATTAGGAAACAAGGTCTCCAGTACAGATGGTAACCATGGGGCTTGCAGCATTGGCATTTGGTGGACACACAGGACAGAGTGACAAGATGCTGGAGAACCAAGGTTGAATGTAATCCTTGGCCAGCATAGGACTGACAACCCTGAAGGCTGGTCGCTTTTACATTCACAGTTTACCCTGTGCAGTACTGGCTACAGCATGGTGTACCCTATGCACGTTTGCTGCTAAGGAGGGCTACTTTATCTGACAACATCTGGGTCACTTTTTGAGCATCATGATGCAGTTTGAAGTACTGCAGCAGCTCTACATCCCTCCAGTGTTAAAACTCATTTTACAGACATCAGAGAGTACGACATCTGGAAAATGTAAGGGTTTGTGCAAGTGTCAAGTGCTACTGCTGGACCCGAGTCCTGAGCAGAGAAACACTCTCAGTGTCACCCATTGGCTTGACTTCAGAGATCATGATGGTTAGATGTCTGTTGAGCTACATGCACTATGGATGATTAGATTAGGCAAAGAAACAATAATTAAAAATAGACCTTTCATGTCATCCAAATTATCTCTTAGCTGAGGAAGTCTTTGGTATTTGGCATGTCATTTCTAGTCCCATTGTAAGTATCTATTTCACCAAGCTTCTACAGCTCCCCTGGAGCACCTGTCTGCTCTGGTACCTCTCAGGACTAGCGCTGATTTCTATTTGCTCAGTGACATATCCTTACTTCTGTTTTTACCTCCTTGGGCCATACTAGCTAATTCAAGTTCTGAGCAACCTACTCCACTGAATTTAAAGGTAGGTGTTGTGTTTGCCCTTAAACAAGCACTTCTTGATACCTAGCCATGCCTTGCAATGAACCCAGAATCTACTGATTAAAATGAATCATCAAAACACTTTGCTTTCAAGAGCTACAATACTGCACAAAGGAAGGGCAGACTACCAAACCTTTTCAGTAAAAAAGACAGAAGTGGATGATCTATACTCTGTCAGTCACTGTAATTTTCTGACACCAGATGGAGCCCATCCCAGACAATCAGATTGGAATTTGTTATCATTTTGAACTTCATCTAGCCATGTCATTTCTCATGTGAAGTTGCTTTTCGATAACAAACATTTTAGTGACTCCACCACCACACTCGTTGGCTGAGAGCGTGCCTTGCAGGATCTGCTCTCTCAGTGCACAGCATTTATCAGCTTAAGCAAACATAACAAACCGCTCTACTTCAAAGAAACCCTTTGGTTTGCAGTGCAGTCTGTAAGGTTTTCCTTGTTGGTATGTGCCGGAAAGTAACAGGGCAGGGTGAAGAGAAGAATTTTTCACCTTGAACTGAATATGCTAACATAGTTATCACTGCTTCCAGTCTTAGGCATCCCAAAATAGTGAGGCAAGCCTAAGAACTGTAAGATTCTTCATAAACTCATGCTGAGATTCTGCCTTGGCTTGCTGGTGCTTGAACTTCAGTATATATTCCTGCTGTGCTTTCAGGGCTGTCATTGGTAGAGTGGCTAAGCTGGGCAGGGACCCCTGGAGATCACCTAGTCCAATGCCCTGTGCACTGCAGGTTCAGCTAGAGCAGGCTGTCCAGGGCTCACAGGTTTTGAGTATCTCCAAGGACAGAGTCCATAACTTCTCCGGACAGCCTGTTCCAGTGTTTGGTCATCCTCACTGTAAAACAAAGCATGAGGTTTTTGTCTACCACAATGAAAAGCAGAGTTCTCCCCTCCGTTCCTTGAGTCCCAAGACAAACCAGGTTTCCAGGTACTGCAATTTCAAGGGGGGTAAACTATTTAGTGCCTTATTTTCTAGCAAACTTAGGGATCATGTGTATCACATACCTGATGCCGATCCAGAGCGATGGCTGCAAGGGTCAGCACAGACACATGAACAGAGCAGTACTGAACAAACCGGCTTACGTGACACATCAGCTTTCCAAAAACCCAGGTACTGCTTACAAACCGCACCTGAAGAACAGACAAAATTGGATCAGAAAGTGTGCATTATCTGATGAGCACCAAATAGGCTTCCCAGGAGTACGGTAAGGAACAAATGCTTTCATGGTTTCCTTATGCTTTGTAGATGCATTAGGTTTTCTGGGAAAACAGTAACTATGCAAGATGCTTTGAAACAGAGGTGAGATTTGTCACAAAAAAATCTGCTTGAGCAGTGCTCTGTGTATGTGTGTTTGCATGGGCCTGTGTACATGGGTACATATAACATCATCCGTCTGGAAAATCTTGGACTAGTTTGTGCTGGAAGGGACCTTAAAGCTCATCCAGTTCCAACCCCTGCCACGGGCAGGGACACCTTCCAGTAGAGCAGCTTGCTCCAAGCCCTGTCCAGCCTGGCCTTGAACACTGGAAGGGTAGGGCAGCCACAGCTTCCCTGGGCACCCTGTGCTAGTGTCTCTTCCCTCGCAGGGAAGAATTTCTTCCTAATATCTAACATAAATTTATCTCAGCTCCTTGATGTGGCTCCACAGGGAGGAGCGGTAGCTTGCTTTCTTAAAAATAGTTGCACATCTGAATTTGTGGGTGCTGAAAGTTGCATGCGTTCAAAACTTAGAGAAATTCATGAAAGAAAAAATCACTGAGGGTACTGAAATAGCGAGGTACCTCCTCCGAGTGAGAGAATGCCTGTCTGTGGAGCATCCCTGCCTGCCTGCCCCGTGTCCATACACTTCCTGGAGCCTGTAGCTACCAGCAACGCTCAGAAACAGGGCATGGAGCTGGGTGTCAGGGTCTTGCTTGCACAGTGATGGCTAAGCCCAGCTCTCCTCTAAGCACATTGTGTGAGATGCATCAACAGCAATTTCAGAGATGTCAATTAAGTTACACAGAGAGAACGAAATTATCCCCTCCAGTTGAAAAAGCAGCTCACACATCACAGGCTGGGCTGCCCTCATTGATCGGACTGCTGCAGGTACGGAAGCCATCTCCAGCCAGGCATGAAATCCAGCCACTCTTGGGAGGGGAGCGGGGCAATGGCAAGGGCAGGGTGGCATTTCCTATGAGTTCCCAGAGGGTGCTACTTATTGTGGATTTTCTGCAGGACACATTATTCCAAATAACAGTTGTTCTCTCACCTCTTTATTATTCCTGACAGTGTTTATTCTAAATTAATGTAACTCATTCTGGAAGGAAATGAAGCCACTTTGAAATAAAGCACATTTACTACAAAATATCTGTCCACACAGAAATTTAGTCAAGTAGCTAGTCTGTTTTCAATTAATCCAATTAATTTCCCTATAGAGACAACTCCAGTAGCAATGACTCTGTCACTGAATGCGTAGCAAAATGCTGTTTCTTTGAAGTTGTTGTAAAGCTCCTTCCCAAGAGATTACAGTTATTTAATTACTTGTGCCTAAAGTGTGACTGTCATGCAAACACACGAGAGGGCACTACATTCCCCTGAACAGATTATGGGATGCAAATCCTGCCAGAGCAAGGAGGAAAAACCCCGTCAAAGAAACAGGATCAGTTTAAGAACAGGTGAATTCAAACTGGCAATCAGGAGCTGCTTTTGGAAGGCAGAACTCTGTGGGCACAGCTTTGTGTAAGGACTGAAGCAGCAGTACATGAGATGCTTTTGAATCAGAGGGCTGTGTCAAATTCAGCTATACACAGAGTCCTACTTACTCATCGTTTATAGCTTGTAACAGTGGGGCAAGTAATGAATCCGTTTAACTCTTCCCACCTCATTATTTTAATAGTTTTTTATGTCTTATATTACTTAGCAACTGAACTAAGCAAAGGACAATCAGCTGCAAAAAGCAGCTCGTAGTGCCCCAGTGAGAGGCATGTCAAGCTGACACAGCTCAGCAGACCTAGCAGTTTCCCCTACAATCATCTTCACAAAGACTGACCTCTTCTGCAGCATTTCCATAGGAAATTGGCAGGTAGTTGGACTTTCTAGTGTCAAAATTGTCCCTGCTTCCTTCCCCATTAAAAGACAGACAGCACTTTGACATCTGTGCCTTGGCACTGTCCTGGGAAGAGGGAGGAGAGCTGAAGAGAAGTGACATGAGGAGGGTGCACAAGTGTCCCAACTCTGCTCGCTGAGCTCTGCCTGCTGCAAGGGGTGGTGGGGAGCAGGGGACACGACAGCAGCTTGTCCGAGAGGAAAAAGGGAGAGGGACGAAAAGAAACTCCGCCTATTAGCCTGTTCCCGGCCCATTCAATATACGTGCACACAGCTGACAGGCACACACAGAACCACCAAAGCAGAGACAAGCTAAATGCTCACCAGCGTGAAGGGGGTGTTCAGAATGGTGATCATCACGTCGGCAACGGCCAGGTTGACGATGAAGAGGCTGGTGGCTGAGTGCATCCTTTTGTTCTTGATCACCACGTGGCACACCAGGATGTTGCCAAAGAGTGAGATGCAGATGATCACAGAGTAGGCTAGAATCAGCAGCGCCTTCACTGTCCGGCTCTGAGACTCACCCTCGTATTGGGTCCCGCTGCCAAAGTCCCCTAGGTCCTCCAGGTCCAAGTCACTGTGGAAAAAAGATTTGTTAGGAAAGCCATACAGTGCAGAGAAGAAGTTGGTTGTGCTGTGATTCTCTGCTCTCCAGAGGGGCTTGGAGATATACTGCAGTGGGAACCACGTGTGCCTGCTCATGGCTTGGGAAGCCAAAGCTCCAGCACTGCGTGTGTCCCTGGGCAGGCTGCTTGTTCCTCCTGCCCTTCTTACTGGCAGCTCAGGTGCTACAGTCAGTGGTTGCAGGGGGGCACACACCCCCTTGCATTTTAAAAATCTGCCCTGTGGTTGCAAACTACATAGAAGAGTGGGTAAACGGGTCCTTGTTCCTATGCTGACTGCATGGGGACTTTGTTTCAGAAACTCTCCAGCTGCTGTCGTTTTTCAGTCCCATATGTCCTATGTACAGAAGCTGACTCAGATGCTGAAATATCAGAGATTCCCAACACTTTCTTCTCTGCACCCGGGAAGAAATCCCAGTTAATATTTCCTTTCTGGACACTGTTCTGCTTCTGTCCCACAACAACTTCTTGGAAATCCACTGGATTTGTTTTCCACATAGTCCTTCATCTGTCGGGTATTTTTAGAGCTTGTCAGAATCAGAAAAGCAAGGGCTGCTTTTCCCTTTTCTTTCCATCCTCAAAGTGTCTCTGAGCTATATACACTGAAGCAGCTTTGCTTAGAGACTGAGTGGTCCCTGCTTTCCCTGTGATATATACCGCCTGCCAGATGACACACCATGTAGGAAATAGCCAATAGCGTATTTCTTCCTCGTTTATCCTGAGGTGTATCACAACCACACACATAGACGATGGGAGAGACTGACATGTGCGGGTGTAGCAGAGCAGCAAAATAGAGAGAATGAGGATGTGTCCTCGTTGTCCTCATCTCTCCTCCTTCTCCTCCTTTCTGTGTACCCAGCAAAACAGCTACATGTGGTGAAGCATCTTTACTAATTTGCAGCATCTTTCTCTCTGTTGCAGAGTAAGTACAGGGCACCTGAGGATTTCTCCCAGCTTTGTGCCTGACACTGTCCCCTTCTTGCTCTCCTGTAGCATGGAGGACAGAGTAGAAAAGTGAAATGAAACCTGAAAATGAGAACAGAATTTTCAGGGTGCTGCTGTGTGTCTGGAGAGTCCCTGTGCACTGAGCCAGGGCAGCAGGGAGAGCCACGGCAAAGAGCAGCAATCTGGATGCAATCCCTTGTCTTCTCCTTCCCTTCCTTTGCAGTCATTTGAAGAGCAGGCTCCAAGCTCAGAAATGCAGATGTGAAGAGCTTTCTGTGCTGTCTTCCTGCAGTGGGCCCCCATGCTCACAGCGGGGGGCATCTGGCAGCACCAGGTGCTGAGCAGGCAGGGGGGATGAGAAGAGAACAGACAGGTTTGCATACAGGATTGGAGACAAACGTCAACTTCTTCTCAGTTTTGACAGACTTGGTATCCCAGCATTCGTTTGGCAACACAGAATGTCTTTTGCCATAAGTGTTTTGTCCCAGACTTCTAAGCCCTTTCTTAGCATCCCCAGACCCCTCTTTTCTCCCAGCCCACAGATGTCCCATACCTGCACCCTGCCCAGGGGCTGAGCCAGGCATGAACTGGCTAGTGGGCCATTTCATCCTCTTCTTCATAGTTTCTACTGTATAAGGACACTAATCACTGTAATGAGTAAATTCCTGTTTGTTAATCAAATCTTGCTTGCTTAGGAGTTACTTGCTTAGAGTTACTTGCTTGATTAATAGTAACTGGAAAATTACGGTGCTTTGACATGTTGCTTATAGCCCGCGGGTATCCGTTAAAGTAAACGATGTATGGGGAAGGCGATAAGGAGCCTTCCTCCCCACACCCACCGGGAGGCAGAATGAGACCCCTTATCTACAGGTCACACAGAGGCAGAGGACTCCAGGAGGTGACACGTATATCGGATGAAGAAGAGTATAAAACCAGTGGCTTTGGGGAAGCGGGGTGCGTGCCGTTGGCGGAGCGGAGACTCCCCGGCCGCCCAGCGCTGTTTTGCTTGCTTTGCTTGCTCAATAAACCGATTTGATTCATTGGTGTGGCTCTCGTCAATTTATTTGAGCCACATTTATAACAATCACCTCAGTCAGGATTTTATTTGGAGGACATCACAGCCATAGAGGCGGAGGGCTGTGGCATGCAGAAGGTCAGAAGCAGGACTCCTTGCTACCAAAGGAGAAATGGTTGCACGTCTTCCAGAGACACAGGCTCTCAGAAATTGCTGCTGATGGCTTGGTTGGTGAATGCCACCATGTGTATGTATGTGTATCTATATCCATGCACGTGCCCTGTGTGACACACATGGCATCGCTGCAGCCCCAGCGCCATGGGGAGCCTGCATTGAGCAGCCCCAGGGTGGGTAAGCACCCATCAGCGTCTCTGCACAGAGGCTGTGGGAGCATGCAGGGCTTCATCCTTGGGCTCCTACACTGGATGTGCTTATTTGCCAGAGTTCCCATTCATTTGTCATTCATTCGAAGGCCGACCTGGGAGAGCAGCATTAGGTGGATAAACCTGAGTGGTGTGAAATGCCCCTCTTGCCAAAGGCACACTATTCTGTACTACATCATTCTTTGCAAAAGTGATATATTCTGTCAAAGGTTCAAACACTTAAGCAGCCACATGCTGGTTTGCTGCAGTTATTAGCAACTTACAAGCATTTTGAGCTGCTTCTAACAGACTTCAGTGTTCTTCATGTATTATAACTTAACGTTTGTGCTGGCTCCTCTAAGTCAAACAGAGAAAGTACAGGAGAAATGTACCTTTTCAAGCACATCAATTTGAATTGTGCAAAGTGAACCTTTGCTCCTATAGAAGACCTTTTGTTTTCTCACTTTGGCACTACTTGAGTCCTAATTTTTTTTTTAATTTTTCATTTTCATGAGATGATCTAGCATTTTAAGTTTTGACACTTTTTTTGTGTCAAAAAGAAATGCCAGATTGCTGAAATCTGGATTGAGATGAATGTAGACTAATTGTTGATGAGAGCCAAAGAAACCAGATAAAAGTTAAGGTCTTTCTTTGGTCAGTAGTCCAGTAAATCTAAATACCAAAGAATGAAAGCACTTACTTTAGAAAAATTACATAGGTTTCATTGAAGTTTGACAGGTAGGATAAGAATAAGTTCTATTTCTCAGTTAAAATTTCCCAGCACTGTCACTAGATGCTAGTCACAAAACACATGTTGTCAACATACGTAATCTGACTCAGTTCCTGTCCCTGACTTTGTAAATCTACCTGGGATTATGACGTGCATTTTTAAACGCAAACTCCCTCCTCACCAGGGCAGCTAACTGTCTGTTAGGAGAGTAGCTGAGCCTGGATCTGAAATTCCTAAACACTTCGGGATTTCATTCCACCTGGGAACATTAAAACCAGATTAAAACCAGATTAGGAGCAGCATGATCTTCTGGACAAAAGCACAGACTGCATTGCCTGTGCTCGGGAAGGCCAAGTCGGTTGTTAAGCATGAACCTCTGCACTTCGTATCTTCCCAGTACTTGCCTGCAGGGACATTTTCCTGTCTGGCAAAGATAAATCAGATAATTCATCATATCATTTAATTATAAAGTCTGTAAAAGTGTCAAGGGTCAAGGCTGCTCACTCTTACACCTTAACATAAACTAATTTTGAAGAAATGGCTTGTAAAGACACGATTCATCTTCATTACTGGACAGAACTGAACGATGAGCCAAATCATAACAGTAATGGAGTCTTTCTCCCCAGGCTGTGTTACCACAGTCTAAGTAGGAATACATATTAAAATGCTCGTCCCTGTCTGCTCCCATGAAGATGCAAAGAAAATGCTTTCATTACTGGAGTTCTGAACTTCCAAAGCCGAATGAAATTGTCCTTACAGGTCCCTGCAGGTCATTATATTTCACATTTATGAGGTATGTAAAGACCTCATAAGAGGGCATAAGAGAAATACTGCGAATACAAGGCCGTTACGTTAAACATTTTCCTAATGTAAAAGTTCCCATCATGCTCTAAGGGTGCAATTTTCAGCTTTTTTGTTGTTATCTCTGTCTGTCCTTCCCTGAGCTCCATTGCTGGTGCCAAGCATGGGCCTCCCAGGGGAAAGGTTCTGCTTCAGAAACAGTATTGCTCTGAAGCTGCTCCTACTTTTGAGCCATTTCTGCTTCAGAATGCATGAAGGAGATGCACAGAGCAACCTGCAGAGAAACTGGCTGTGCCTCCAAGAGCATCCCCTGTCTTTCCAGGCTGAGGTCTGCATGGAACTGCACCACAGGGAGGAGGGAGGACACAAGTTACACAAAAGCCTAAACCAAGATCTTCTGGTGCAATAAAAAGATTTCTGGCTTGAAAAGAAAAGCTCTCCCATTCAGAGTTGCAAGCAGCTGGAGCTGACAGGAAGTTTCAGTGCTTGAGCCTTATTCAGAGGAAGAAAATTCAACAGCTAAAATTCCCAAGTCTACATCCCTAGTATCAGGCAGCTTTTTGAAAGAGTCCTGTTCCCTACAGAAGCTAAGAGTTCACACTTTTCTGTTTTAAATACAGGTTTGATAAATAACAGAAACAATAAGAGCTGTATAGCAACCCCTGGGCTTTTTGTCTTTCACTGAAAAGGGGTGTTATATGCAAGAAATTGGACACTTCTTGAATACCATAATCTGGGATTATTTTTTTTTTTAGATTTGCTTTAATACACTGAGGACTCTGCATTCATCTTCATTTATAGTGACTAGCACTGCTTTTGTGGTTTAGAAAATGTGAGATGAACAGGCACAGAAATCCTGCAAGGCATTTTGTGGACTTAATAAGACATAATAAATAAACCATGTTTAGCCATCATGGAGTGAATACACCAGTAATGAATTAAATAAAGCAGCTCTGTAATTCTGACAGAAGCTAATTCAAAATAGCAAATGCATTTAACTTAGGGGCTGTTCGCTGTGCAGAACAGCTTAATGTCACTGCAATAAGCCTTCAGGAGACTGCATCTGAAGAGAGGGACAAGTGGGTGAGCTTTGGCACTTCCAGATGTGCCAAGCAGTGGCATCCTGCTGCAGTGCCCAGTGTGAGGAGGTCAGTGGCATTAGAAGCATTCCCATAATGCCTTCTATATCTGCTTGACAGCAATAAAAGTGGTGGGCATGTTTGGTGCAGATAAGCCTTATTTAGGGAGTACTAGACGGCAGTTTGATCTTTGCATTGTGAACACTTGAATGATTCAATGCAAGCCGAAAATGGGATCCCTTTCTGCTAAGTTCAGCACGGATATCTCTTGTCGAAGTGATTCGATTCAGACCTAGGCAGGATGCTTGCAGCTGTGACCTGCAAAGGATCACACATCCTACCTGACATCTGCCTGTCTCGGCACTCAGTTAATGTCATGTTTTATGATGTGGACACTGACCTAAAGCTCTTCAATCATGTAGCATCAGCCAAGGGAGCTGCTGACAATGCCTCTGTCTCTCAAGACTACAGACAAGCATTCTGGGGCTGGGGGCCATGACCTACAGAGCCGCATTCTCTCCAGGCAGAGGAATGCTGCTCCAGAGAAGGGCAGCATAATAAGCAATGTCAGAATATCTGGTGGAGAGGTGCTCTTGAGAAGCGAATAGGTACTAACCACAGGAGAGAACAGAGTGCTGAGCTTCAGGGCTGCTGTTGCCTGTGGTAACATACCATTGCCTACTGCCAGTGTTACCTCCAGCACTGTCGAGAACCTGCTAAGAGTGAAATAACTGTCACAGCATGAACGACTTTGTTCTCCAATCTCAGCAGTCTTCAGTAAAGAATAGTGGCTTTTGGTAGGCACTGGCTTACAACATTTCTTCTTTGTTGCAGGTTCTTTCAGCCCCCACTCTCTGAGTGAAAATTTTGTTTTAGCCATTGTTTTTACTAATACTGCCTTAAATATGCTGAATTAAATGGCTACAGTTCTGTCCTCCCACTTCTCCTTCCACACCGAGTGCTCAGGTTCACTCTGCTGCCTTCAGCATGATGCAGGCATGACAAGAAGCTCATATGTCAGGACAGTCCATCGGCATTGACCTATGACTCAGTTTAGATGTCTGCAAACTCCAGGTAAACTATTCAAGACAGTTGATCTATTTGAGCCTCCACTTCAGAGGAAGGCAGTAG